ACTTTAACCCTTTTTACAGTGTGTTTTCACTTCATGAAAGTTAATTGTAACATTTTTAGTCGCCTAAAAAATGTCTTATTCAGCGTTCGGTTGTACTTAGCTCCGCCCTCTCGTGTCAGTATGCTTAAAACCAGCACTTTATATATATATATTCTTTTATATCTTCTTTTCTGTATGAGGGTCCTGTTCTCTCTCTCATATGATTGTCCCCACCATATTGACTAATTGTGATACCCCACTTGTGGTGTAAATGTCTTTGAGAAATGATGGAGTTGCACCTCTAAACTACATGTTTCATCAGGATGAGGATGAACTCAATTTGATGACTCGTGGCATTATAAAAAATATTAATGCCAGATTAATGACAATACAAATCATTTGTGTTTGAAAGGTTGTGAAGATTGGGTGCAATGTAGATTATTTATACATTGTGTTTTTGGCTTTAGATGCGTTAGATGGAATCTTGCAGTGCTCTCTCATATCTGTGTGTATTATCTGTTTCAGACGCAGTACAACAAGCCTCGGGCCCTCTGCTGGTGGAGATAGTGAAAGGCCCGTCAGCCAGCCTGGGGATCAGCCTCACCACAACAATATACAGGAGCAAACAAGTTATTATTATTGACAAGATAAAGGCAGCCAGCGTGGTGGAAAGGTGAAACCAAACCTCTTAACAGTATACCGCTGCACACACACTTTTACTGTCAAATGAAAGCTTTCCTCACACTCTCTGTCTCACTCTCTCCCAGATGTGGAGCGCTGCACGCAGGTGACATCCTTCTGTCGATAGACGGGACCAGCACAGAGCACTGCTCTCTGATGGAGGCCACGCAGCTACTTGCCAGCACTTGTGACGTTGTAAAGCTGGAGATTCTCCCGGCCAGTCAGGGCAGACTTCCTGTCAGGCCGCAAGACACAGGTACGTCCTGGAGGTGACGCAGCGTAAATACAACTGTGTGAGATGCTGCAACAGAACATCAGACGTCAGAAAGAGACAAATACGACTCGAGATCATTTAGGGCGGCAACGGAAAAAACTATCTTAATTTTTGATTGTTTTGTTGAGTTCTCCTTTGTAATCAATTATTTTCTGGGGCCAGAAAATGGTGGAATATGCCCAAGACACGTTTCCAGAGACCAAGCCATCACAAACTAAAGTAGAATCAGTGGTTTCTAACCGTTCGGCCTGTTATCCCCTTACACAAGAAGAGTCACTTTTCAGACATCTATGAACTGTTTAATTTCCACCAAAGAGACATTTCTCTAACTAATCGCTTAGTGTTACATTGACAAAAGTAATTTGTAAGGGTCGACTATTTAAAAAAATTGGCCTTACAAGATCAGGGTTGATTTTATTAGTCGTCCTTTTGAGCCATTTTCAACCCAAAATGACAGATTCTTTAAATCAATTTGTTAAGAAATGTCAATATGAACATCAGCATTGATGTGTTTCATCACAGTAGGTGTGCAGTTACCCTTTTAGTAGAGTTTGATATACCATTATTTAATTAGGATATTGTATGCAGGACTTTTAAGTGTAATTAAGTATTTTTATGTTGTTGTAGTGATACTTTTAGGGATCTGAGTACTTCTTACACCACTGTATGTAAGATAATATTGAATTATGTGTATAGTGGTCAAGTTTTTCACTATGTTAAAAATCCAAAATGTACAGTGCTGTGTGTCATACAAAAACATTTTGTACACGCTCGAGTGCAAATATGCAAATGTGAAGGGGAATGCAAATGGTTCACGTGTGGACAATGTTGACTGTATAACTAATAGCCTCAAAATCATTTAATTAAGTCGGTGTGTACATTGTGGAGGCTATACACAGTTAACAGGCTGGAGGCGTGTTTGTCCTCACCCTATGTTTTGTGAGGAATCTCAGCTCTGCTACCTACAGCTGCTAAGAGCCTGGCTGCCTCCCAGCTGCTTTCTCCTACTATGAATCGGCCCGTGTGTGTGTGTGTGTGTGTGTGTGTGTGTGTGTGTGTGTGTGTGTGTGTGTGTGTGTTAGCTGCCGGCCAACGTCCATGTGCCTTTGGGAACACACTCGGTTGGTAGCAACAAGCCACACATACACACACAAATACACACTTTCTCTATCAGAGATCATGTTCTGCAGACTTATTTCTGGGTCAGCAGCTGCAGGGGCTTCTTAACATGTGAGCATGGGACGAATCAAAGTGTGACAAAGGGAATAACATGTCGTCTATTTGTCTCTGCCAGTCGCTGAATTCTTCTTTATCCTTTTGTCAGATCCCGTCGGCAGCGTTTCCCTTTTTATTTTTCAAACTTCCATCTCTCTTTTTTGTCCTTATTTACTGGTTTAATTTTACATTCATACATTAACTTATCTGAAGAGGGCATATAAAATGAATCTTTTCCACGACTGCTCTGTGAAATACTTGACCTGCATTTTCCACCTGTTGACCACCGAGAAGTGCAGCACACGTAACATCTTCTCAGGCGTGAGGTCTTGTCTTCTGAAATTTCTATTCAATAACGACTCCCTCCTTGAATGAGGCGCCATGACGTTATGATAATGTGATATTTGCACAGCTCCTTTTTCCTCCCCCAGGATAAGGCATGATTATAAGATGCAATTTGTCTAATCTCCTCTGGGGATTTAATAAGACTGATATGGCCACCAAAGAGATTAGGGAGTTAATGTTTCTTTCCGCCATGCAGCGTCGATCAAAAACACCATTTTCTTGGAGAGCCTCCTCTAGGTGAGCTTAACATAAGCCGTCAGAGCCAAAGCTTCACAGGTTTGATTGAGTCCGATAGAAACCTGTTCTCCCAGAAAGAAAAAGGGCCGCGGGGTTCTTTCCTGCTTGTGTTCTGATTACATGCGGTTGGATTTAACCATGTTCCCATGAATATGGCAAACGTCTTAGTCCTTTCTGCAGCCCATCCGTATTTCCAGCAAATCCTCCATCCATGTGAGCAAGTTGTTGGGAGATTAAACGCCTGCAAATGAAGCAGCAAGGATTACTGTCACATGTAACGCTCTTTGACAATTTTAGCTGCATGGATCTGGAAAAGGGAAGTCAATTATGTGAGGTACGTGTCATACAGGAGGTCAGTTGTTTCCCTTTTGAGTGCTTCAGAGGCACCGTTTGACGGAACGCTCACGTGTCGACATGAGGGATAAGATGCCTCTCAGAATTAACAATCTGTGCTTTTCCATTTTGTACAAAGTGGGAAAAAGTCAACAGAATTTAATTGTTTTTTTTTTTAAACCACGTGAATATGAATCTCACAGAATTAAATTAAAACACATTGAGACCAAACTCTCTGCCAATCAAGTGCAGAAACACATCTGCATGATCAGCAATCAAGCTTTCAGCTGCGCCCAATCAAGCCACATGCCTTCCAGCAGCCGGTGTCACTTCCTGCTGAACGCAACAACATCATGCCCAGCGGACAACTTACTCACACTCTCCTTCAGCCTACTGGCTCTTTTGAAAATTAACTTGTAAAGATGATCTCCAGTTTGCACTTAGCTTTTTGGAAGCTTGCTAGTAAAAGTAAGATGTTTGTTTTTTTAAGACCACAACATCCCATTCAGCTATGTGTGTCTAACTGATTCTCATGAAAGTGCATTAAACTGCAGGGTTTAATCTAGCGTACCGTAACGACAAAACATTAAATATCAATTACTCCGCTCTGAAATCATCCTCCAGGCGCTGTGCGGTTGGTGGTACAAATTTAGACTTGAGGATGAAAGCGTGATTTCATGGGTAGAATTTTAACAAATGTGCAAACGGGAGTGGATCCGGTCGACTTAATGGATGTGTTTGCCTCCGTGTCGCTGCAGTAAAAGTGCAGAAGAGCAACCATCATCACTGGGACCAAAGCGGCAACTACTGCCATCCCCCACATGCCAGCCACGGCAAGACATGGAGCAGCCCGAGCCACCCACACAACCAGCAGGACCACTGCAAATGTAAGTTATCACTTGTGACAGCACCGCTGCTGGCGAGACGCCATGGCAGGAAGGACTTTGTCTTCAGCACATTTGTTAAATCTTTTTTCTCCAAGAGGCTTACTCCACCACGGTTGTTTTCTTTTAGTTGCATGTTCCTCTCGAGCAGCATGCACGCATCCTGCTGTGAATGAAGAAAAGAAAAAAACATGTGTGTAATCTCACTGTACCAGCCTTTTCTTTTATACGTGTAGTGCCATTGTCTCCTTTCAGCTCTGGTGAGCGGTGGCTTCTCCCCTTCCTCCACAGCCACCTCTGGCTTCAGCAGCCAGGGGAGCAACACGCTGCCCTGCCCCATCCCTCCGGTCGCCCCCACCAGCCCCCGCGGCTCCACGGGCAAGAGGAGGAACAGGAAGAAGGACCACAAGAGCTCACGTATGACGAGCAGTCTGCCCCCCCCCCCCCCTTTTTAAAAACAAATTAAAGGGTCTTTTCTACCAAATTGACCCTTTGATTCGATTATTTTGTCCTCTCCATTTGTATGAGCGAGGGTAGGCTGAATAACACTCACTGTATTTATTGCTGGACTGCATAACTTTTAGCTAGAAGTACCAAATAATAAACTGGCAGCTAAGAGTATGTTGATACAATTAGTGCCTTTTAACTTGTGACAGTTTCCCCCAAAATCAATTAATTTTATCAGGTATGAAAATGTAAATATGCATTTTCACAACTGAACCTTTCATATCAGAAAGTAACGACAAGGTGTTTTGATTACAGAGATGTCTGGAGCTACATGTTCAGTGCTGATAACATCACAAAGAAATCCCTTTCACTTCCATTATATTAAAAGGGACAGTTCACCCCAAAACTGTAACTTGACTGGTTGGAGGAGGCGTACAACCGTGAGGCGGTAATTCTAGTTATTTCATGTTTTAGTTTTTTTTGCACTGCAGGAAATATAATCAAACTAATGCTGATTTATGCATTTTAGCCTCAGCTGTACGTTGGCAAATGTATTATTAGCATGTTAGCATTAAGCTGAACGCACTGCACAGCTGGGTTGCAGTGCTGCAGATGAATTGGTGGCACAAACCTCAGAACCGGGATCAATTAAACTAAAAATCTTTCTGCAGGACAATGATACAGCAAGTGATTAAGTACGCCTGTTTTTTCTATAATTCAGACGAACTGGCTCTTAAACTTGTTCTTTGCTGCTCTGTTAAAACACCTTTCCCTCCTGTTTTGCCGCCTCAGTGCGTGAATAGACTCCGCTGGTTACTGACGTAAAACACGACTGACGTAAACTCTGAGAAGTGACTCATTGTCGTCTCTGTGGGTGCATGTCTCTTCCGCTTACCCTCCTCCGCTTTTTTTTTTTTTTTTTTTTTGTCTCCCACGATCCCTCTCTTGCTCCATTTATCTGCCACCTCTCCACTGATATCTCTTCCCTGATGTGTCCTCTCTCCCCGTCTCTCAGTATCTCTGGCGTCCAGCTCTGTCGGCCCAGGGGGGCAGGTTTTTCATGTGGAAACAAGCGATGTCTTCCTGAGGGGGGATCCGCTCACAGGTTTTGGGATCCAGCTGCAGGGGGGTGTCTTTGCCACAGAAACCCTGTCTGCTCCCCCGGTCATCCGCTTTATTGAGCCCGACAGCCCAGCTGAGAGGTAACGCACTGAGACACCTAACGGGTAAACAAGTATCGTATAGGGAGTCACCTTGAATTACACGGCTCCAGTGCTAATCATTCAGCCACATTAAAACATTTTTTTTGAAAGGATCATGTTAACCTCCTGTCTAAATGAGTATTTCAGCTGAAGGCATTAGAGCTGCATTTGTCTCATGCTGTGGTTCCCAAATGTGGGGCCTTGACCTACAGAAGGGCCTCGCAAGATGATTAACAGCAGAAAGAATATGGAGCTTTTTCCCTTTTATCTTTATTGAAGAGTGTCTGCTTTCAATTTGTGAGCATGACTTAAGGATTTCACCTGAGATTTTGTGACACTCTCCCTCGATACCCTGTCTTCACACTCAAATAGCTGCTTTTTGCACTTGGATTTCTGCTCTCGCTGTGTGCTTGCACTCAGATATATTATTGCTTGCACAGATTTTCCTTCACTTCAGCTTTTGTCTTTTCACTCTTGGGCTGCTTCCCGCAATGATGCAGGGATCATTTTATTGGTCAACACTACACCTGCCATTCAATTGGTTTGGGGAATTTTGAAATGGTTGTTGCACAAAAACAATCCAAGGACAGAGGAGAAAAATGTTGACGCAGATGTTTCACGAGCTGCACGGAAGCAGCCGAAGTGTGAGAACGCAGGAAATCCGTGCAAGCAAAAATGAATCCAAGCAGGAGCTATTTGAGAGTGAGGACAGAGTTTGGAGGGAGAGAGTTACAGAGTTAGTCTTGGTCACAACTGGAAGCCATACTGAATATAACTGGTAATGTATTCTATGTAGATATTGTTGTGGGGGGGGGGGGTATATGACCTGAGCTCCTACTACTGTGGACCTATAATAAATATTTGATTAATTAAATATAATCGTTCATTTTGCACAAAACGACGGGTCTTGCGTTACCCTTCAGTGGTAGACTGATACAAAGACTGCTGGTTGTGGGACGTCCTATCATACCAACCAGACATGTATCTATAGGCCCATGAGCAAACACACAAACCACATCAGTTTTGTGTTGATGAGTGTAGTGGCAGCTTGTTAAAAACCTTCTTCGCCTCGTCTTGCAGAATGTAAAGAGTTCTGACTCACACGTGCACCTCTGCAGGCTGTACTCTCCGTGGTCAGCTGTCCAATAATGAGGCTCGTAGTGCGTGAAAAAAGTAGTTTATTCCATGAAAACAAAATGAAACGAATGTATCCGTATGCAATAATCGACTATCAAATACTGACCTTCTGCTGGCAATAACTAAAATAAACTCTACCATCTGTGATCAGAAAGAATGTTGCTCCATTTAGACTTAACTTGCAGTAAAACCCACTTAAAGGAGTCGCCCCAAAATCATTTTGCAACATGACCAATTACCTTAATTATATATTAAACATTTGATAGGGCATAACACACATTACTTTAGTGAAGAAAATAAACTGTAAACAATAGTCACGCGAGCATTACGTCGCAGCGGTGCATGGCTCATACACATAATGAGGGCATAATCTGACCGTTTTTTAAGTTTTGTTTATTTCTCCTCAAAAGTCATCTCTTGAATATCTCTTGATCTCTTGATAGGTATCTGCAGATTAATCAGCTTTTTCCTGCTTCAAACTGTCGTTGGCACATTTTTAAAGGCTGATATAATATCGGTCTCCTTCTAGTTGGCACCCCTGCGTTGTTGTGAGGGGTCACAAGCCAAAACAACGTCGATGCTTGCCAACCCTCCGCATGGTAACGGTTTATTTGCTTAGCTGAAATGTCATGAGGTCCACAGATGTACTCAGCAATTTATGACGGTTGCTTTAGTCTCGGTTGTGCTTCTGACAAACTTCAAGGAGCAGTAAGTTGTCCCCAGTGTACTAGATGTATTACACATTATACATATTGATGCAGCCAGTGTTTTTGTTTTTTATAAATGGTGGAAACCTCAGTTATTGGTGCGTAGTATTGATCAAGACTGCATGTTGCAGACCTAATTAACACACAGCTCTGATCGGGCCAGTGTGTTGCATCCGTCCTTGTCCCGTGAGATTAATGATGGTGTCTGTGCCGGCACTGCGGGGCCCATCCGGTGTCCCCCCCGGGGTCCTGTGACACGATTAGTCCAGCAGCAGTTGGACAGCAGCAGCAGCCGTGGTTAGTGAATTAATATCACTTGACAGTGCTTTGGTGTGTGCCCTTGTAATCAAGGGTCTGATTTAGTGTGAGATATGTGGGAATTCTCTCACTTTGCGGAGGTGATTTTTCAAAGTTCAAGTAAGGGAAGTGTTCAGTGTGCTCATGCCGAGCCTGGAGGCCATATCGTGTTAAAGGTGGCATTTTAAACATTCAGCCTATGTGGCATGTGGTGTCACCCAAGCTGCGTGTGTCAGAATGCTTTCACCGAAAGCAGAACTCCAAAGCCTTGCTGACACTAGTGTGGTCGTATTGAAACCATTCATCAGTCGGCTGTAGTGGTGATTTACCACGGTCCGTGTTCCTCTGCAAGGTATCGGAGTTCTGATTCGTGTGCCAATTAACTTAAAACCTTTTTGTAAAGACCCGATGTACTACAGGAGCCAGGGAGAACCTGAATGAGTTTATTTGAGATCTATTACAACGTGACTTGATGTTCCAGTATCACACGATCACTGTACGCTATAAAAACAAACTCACAAAGGCTCATAAATGTGACAAGTTGATGTTATATTTTAGTTTTGTATAATTTTGAATTTTACGTTTTGAACAAAACATGGAATCTGGGGGAAAGTTAGACGCTCATTCTTCTGAGGAGCTTTAAAGTTCTACTTCATTATATTCAATACAACAATCAGGAGCTTCTGTTTCAATACAAGCTGAACATTATAACCTTCATGAAGGCATTTAATGCAGAACTGATGCGTTAGGTTTAACCAGGTGTACCTAACAAACTGGCAACTAAAGTGTATGTATGTAATTTGTTCTCAAGAGACTGCATGAATAAATAAAGCTTAACTAAGTCAAAGACGTTGCCTCAGGCTCTGCAAAAATTGTGATCATTTTTCACTTTTTGTTTGGGGGAAAAAATCAACAAACAGTATTGATCAATAATTTGAATAATCGTTATTTGCAGCCCTGGTTGAAATGTGATCTGTTTTATTTATTTAATAATATTTGTTTTATCATTCTGTTGCTTTTCCAGCCAAATTGCATTTCTTCTAAACATTTGTATTTCTTTTATTATTATTGTTATTATATGAACTGTTGTCTTTCACAGCAGCTTAATTTAAACTTGAAAGTGTCGATCTAAAAGATTTTCATTGAAAAAGTCTATTAGGTCACTATTTATCAACACACTGGTGATTGAGCCGATGGCCCACGGATGAAAGTATTGAAGTATTAATATATATTTCCAGTATTATGAACTAGGTGTCTGTGGCGATGTTCCCAGAAACAAATGCTGTCGTGTTTGTTCTCTATTGTATACACAAAATAAATGGAAGCAATTCCTAAAAATAGCTTGTTGGTATTGAATTACAGACGCAAATTAAAAAAAAAATTAAGCGGGACTGAAATCTTATTGATTCCCACTTTAAGTGTGTGTGTGTGTGTGTGTGTGTGTGTGTGTGTGTAGGTGTGGGCTGCTGCAGGTTGGGGACAGACTTTTGTCCATTAACGGGATCCCGACTGAAGACGGCACTCTGGAGGAAGCCCACCAGCTGCTCAGAGACTCCGCTCTGGCCAATAAGGTCACAGTGGAGATTGAGTTTGATGTTGCAGGTATAATATTTCGAAGGTAGATTATTCTACGAGTGTTTGTTCCCCCCCCACACTTACATTTTTACCTCCACTTCAACTTCCAATTAGAGTCGGTGGTTCCCAGCAGCGGCACCTTCCACGTGAAGCTACCCAAGAGGAGAGAAGTGGAGCTGGGCATCACCATCAGTGGTGAGTTTTGTTATGAGCCAGATGTACAGCAGAGGGCAGTCCTGCTCGATAATGCTCCACAGACCTGCACACGGTAAATCCCCACTGAATGAATCAATGTTCTGTGATCCATAAAACCCGGCCTTGCGAGCCCATGAGGGCACATCCCTCATTACCTCTGAATAATACCGGCCTGTCCCGGCATTCATTTGTGCTCTGAATAAACGGGGAGCAGTGTGTGATTAGTGCAGCAAAAATAAAAGGGTGTTGAGTGCTTTCAAAATGCTTTTATCCTCCCATCATGCATCCTAAAATAAAAATATATATATTTTTTAATGTTTTACCAGCAAGTAAGAAACCCGGCAAGCCCCTCATCATCTCTGACATCCGCAAAGGAAGCATAGCACACAGGTATGTCCCATCAGCACACAGAGCTCATTTAATATGAATGTTATTGTTCTCACAGCGCAAATTTAAAAACAATTAAATAACACAACGGTTGCTTTCGGGTCACATTTGATTCTCAACACTTTACATTTAGGGTGAAGGTTTTTTTAGGCTTATGTGGGATTACGTCCTCAACAACAACAATATTGTTTCCACTGTGTAATATTTACCTAATTGGATTGCGCTACCAAAACTGGATCAGAAGGGCAGAGCCGCTACATTTCAGAAGGGCTCAGTGTTGATTAGGTTTGCGGGTGAGGTTAAGGTCACCCTCGAGGATCCCACTGAGACACTGGTGGCTAATAGGATTCTCAAACTGTGTCGGGAGGAGAAGCTCCCTCGGTCCCAGTCGATGGCTGAGATCCTCTCGTCTCTTTGTGTCCCGGTAGAACAGGCACTCTGGAGCCCGGGGACCGGCTGCTGGCCATCGACAGCGTGCGTCTGGAGAACTGCTCCATGGAGGACGCCATGCATGTCCTGCAGCAGGCCGAGGACATGGTCAAGCTCCGAATCCAGAAAGACGAGGACAACATCGGTACATTGAACCCTTAAAAGCAACCAAGCACATTTACTCATTTAGTACTCTTGAGTTTTCCCATTTGATGCCACTTTATACTCCAACTCCACTACATTTAAAGGACATATTGCTCTTTTTGAAAACATATGACAGCTTTTAAAATACACAACATTGTCAAAGATGAAACCAGCGGTTCTCTTTTTGGCAAAAAAAAAAAAAATCTGTATCTAGTAGAAGCCATCAATGGCGAGAGACAAATATGTTTTGAGCTTGTTTGAATTGCACTCTGATTTATACATAAGTTTGTTGATTTTAAAGATAATTTGGCACGTGTAGAAAGTCACAGTTGTTGTAGGACCATTTTAGTTTTGTGTGAAACCACTCGGTGAACTACATCCATCGACTCACAGTGTACGTCACCAACGCCGTTAGCTCGGCTTGTTCATATAAATGATAGGACATATAACAAAGTCCATCACAGGCTCCTAAAGCCCAAGTTTTGTCACCCAACAGTCCAAAAATGTATCGTAGAAAATTAAGAAAAATACATTTTCCAAAACCTGATATGACATTTAGAAGCTGTGGTTGAGTATTTTAGATTGTTTTATTGGTAATTTAACTTCTTCCATCACTTTATTTAAGCCAAACAATATTCCAAAACAGTAAAATGAGAAATAACGGAGGTATTGATCTGTTATTTGTCCATTTGCACAGATTTTTCTACATATTTTAATATAAATATATTCTATATTCACAGGATTTGTAATGTCTTTATAAGCTTGAATCTTATGCGATCCTGTTCAACCCATGTGCTGTAGATGAGTTGGAGATGTCGGGCTCCATAATCTACACCGTTGAGCTGAAGCGGTATAACGGACCACTGGGCATCACCATCTCTGGCACAGAGGAGCCCTTTGACCCCATCGTCATTTCTGGCCTCACCAAGAAAGGCCTGGCAGAGAGGTGAGGAACTGGTCGGACAGGACGGGTCCGGGAGTAAAGAGTGTTGTTTGAGAAGATGGTGACACTTGCATTAGGCATGTCAATCCTGTAGCAGCCCTCTTTGGAAACGATTTTTAAAAATAAACAAGACTATAAACGATGTCTGTCTCATCTGTTTCTATAACAAGGAGCCTCTTTGTTTCCGTCCCAGTCAGCGCCCTGGCAGCCTGACAGGGGACCCGGCTCGGTCGGTCGGTACTGTCTGGTTTACTGTGATAACTCTGTCTCCTCCTCAACCATGCAGGACCGGGGCCATCCACATAGGGGACCGAGTCCTGGCCATCAACGGGGTCAGTCTGAAAGGAAAGCCACTGAGCGAAGCCATCCATCTCTTGCAGGTGGCCGGGGAGTCCGTCACCCTCAAGATAAAGAAACAAGCAGACCGTATGTGCTTTTGTGTCTCAACTCATCACTTATTTCTTTTTGATAACTTGCAGTGGTTTGCAAAAATGATCTTACAAATACAGTTGCATAACTGAGACAAAAAGCAACCGGCATAATAAGAGTAAAAATAGAGAATAAAATCAAAACAAATAAAAGGTGAGTTGATAATAAGTTGCCTTATGACACAACATAAACATTCATATTTCACTTTTTCACATTTCATTTGGATTGTTTCATTGGTTTCATTTGTCATCTAGTTTTAATAGTTTTAGTTTGTATGTAATGTCGCTTTGCAGTTAAGCGTTTGATGCCAAAGCGAGGAAGCAATATTCATTTATACGGTGCTTAAAAAGTTGCTCAGCACTTTACAGGAGGAGAAAAAGAAGATGAGCGTATCATAATCAAAGAGACGAAATGTACAAACCACAAAAGATAAGGTTGTTAAATGAAGAAAGCAAGTGTTTTTCTTTAAAGAAATGCGCTTTGGTTGAGCTTCTTCTGAGGCTTTAAAGCAGTGAAAGCGATGTTTTATTTTTGCGTTTTAAAAATGACAGGAAGTACACTACGTCCTTGTCTTGACGATTTGACTCCTTGTTCATTCCAAAGCGTCTGACGGCCAGCGGCCTGCAGACAGAGAAGCAGGGTTTTTAAGTGACCCAGAGGATGACCTCACCGACTCCCAGAAGATCAGTAAACACTCGGAGGTCTACTCGGCCACTCTGCCCAGCATAGACTCTGCGATGAGCTCCTGGGATAGCTCGGGGTTTGACGCAGGCTACAGTAGTCAAGGTGAGGTCCGCCGCATGCCTACTTTCTGTAAATGACCCGTTTCCTGTCTTGCATCCAATGAGGTCGGTGTATTTTCGTGGTTTATTCAGGGACGTATCATCACAAAGCGTCCGATATATTGCTCAATCCGCACGAGTGGCGACGCACAAAACACAGGAGTCACACCAGTTCCGGCTCTGCAGGTCTAGTCCACCACGCAGCGCTGTATGACGGGAGATTCACTGAGGATGAGTGGGACAAGATACCCGGGTAAGTGCTTCAGCCTGCAGTTTCCTTCCTGTCAACATCTTGGTTCATGTCAGTGCAGCTTTAAGTGATTTTGATTTCTCAGTAAAGGGCATATATATATCATTTAAATCATATCCTGTGTAAAAACAGTGGTGGAAAAGTACATTTAATCAAGAACTGGTATTTTATGTACTTGGACGTTTTATGCTGTACTTATCTTCCACTACATTTCACACACATGACTTACATATGACTCGCAACAAAAAAGTCAACTTGGGACCCCTTCGTCCTGTTTCAATGTCTTTAAGTCGTCTCTGAATTTCCATAATTGCTACATTTAAAGTTGCTGTGAGGAACTTTTAACTGGTTATGAAACGGTCTCAGTTTAATACTGATCCTCTATATGACCTAAGTAAACGAGATCATCAGCAAGAAGATTGGCTATTTCTCTATAGTTGTTCTTAATGCTCGTCGTCCGGGGCAGATTCCACGCGAAAATGGAAGAAAATCATGCAGCTTCACCAGAAACTCCTTCAGCTCAGACTCCAGCGGGGCCTCCAGCAGAGACCGGTCCACCGTGGACAGACCCAGATCCTCCAGCAGAGACCGGTCCACCGTGGACAGACCCAGATCCGATTTGGACGCAGCCTTCGATCTGCAGTCAGAAGCTCCAGAGGGACGAGGAGGGCTCAGCTTGCTTCACCTCCAGTCCCCGCTGGAGCCAACACTGACACCATGCTGCTGGAGGCCCAGGACGTATTGCTGGGCCCGCTAGAGGGAAGGGAGGCAACGAGAGAACCAGGACTGAGCAGGGCAGACTATCAGACCCTGCTGCAGCACAATGAGAGGTTTTCTAAAAGGACTCTGGTGCTCAGAAACAATACCATGTTTGTCCACAGGGACCGCTAAAATTAACACTAAATTGAAGTTCCTTGTAGTAGCTTTAAATACTTTTAGACTTAAATAAGTCAAAATATCCAATATTTCACAATAAAAGCAAAGATTAAAGAACAGTCCAAACATTGTTGAATTGGCACTTTTACCTAAATAAAGGATCCGAGTACTTTTCCACCACTGTGTTTAAATAAGAGCTTCTGTGATTATTCTTTCCCCCTCTTTGGGTTCATTGATGAAAGCAAACTGCACTGTCTGAATTGTTTTCAGTTCATTTTGTGTTGTATGCTTTCATGTTTTGTGCTTTTCCAAAACTGTCCTTTTTCTCTTCTTTCTCAGGTATTCTCTCTCTCATCTGCTTTATTAACTGCCCACGAGCTCTTTGGTGTTTCACATAGACGCATCTTTTTCTGTCACCCCTTCTGTCCACAACAAAAACAAATCACCTAAAGCGCCCAAGGATACATCAGCCTTATCTGTGTCTTCACACTTGACTTTTTTTTTTTTTTGTCTTCCTGAACTTTTGTGTCACATGCTTTCAATTTTCTGCTTTTTTTTTGGGGGGGGGGGGTAAAACTCTTTGAAAGGCTTTATCTAATCTAGTGGACTCCTCACCGTTTGCCACAAGTTTAAAAAAAACAAAAAAAAAAAAAACTCGATGTGGTCCTGGGATTCTCCAGCAGGCGGCCCAAAAAACTACATTTCCCATGCTGCCTTTTGAAAAGCGGGCACCGGCCACAAGACCCGCAGGGCTGCTCTCATGTTCTGGTTCCTGCGTTGTCATAGATTCGTCAGCCCCCCTCGTTGCCAGGAGAACAGCTTCTGGTCCCAGGCTCTGCAGGACCTCGAGACCTGCGGCCAGTCGGAGATTCTCAGGGAGCTGGAGGTAGGCCCGCCTGTCATCAGTGGTCCGCCCCCCCACTTCCTGCTCCTGTTTCCTCTCCTCCTCCATCTGCTTTGTGCTACTCATGTATTCATAGACCGGTGTCGGCCTAAATGACCATGCCAGATGAAGCATTATGATAATCGCCAGAGTGTATAATCTGTTATTAAATCTGACAAGATAGGCTGGGCACCTGCTGCCACACTGACCCAGGAAAGGCTTTGGCGCAATGCCCCAGCCTCTAAACCGTCTCTGTGTACACTTCATCAGATATTATATGTTGTGCTGTCCAAATTCTTTCTTTTTTAAATTCATGACACTCTTATAATCCCTTCTGATTTTGTGCTCTTTCAGGCGTCCATGACGGGTAGCGCTCTCAGTCTGTACCTCGAGGAAACAAAGACCAATGACGACTCAATGTTTCAGTCTGAGATCAGTCCCATTAAGAGGGAGGGAATGCACGGAGAGTTTAACAGCAAAAGCAACCTGAACATGTCGACTGGAGGCAGAGACGTACCGTCCCGGGGCCGAGGGGACACCTCTGATGTCTTGTCCCCTACCACTCTGGCACTGCACAAGGTAGTGCTCTTCGGGAATGGCTGACTAAACATTTTAAATACTTCTACTAATTGGTATCTGCACTGGTGGGTACGAGGGAAGTAGCACAAGGAACACATTTGCTTTTAAGAAAGACACTGTTTGCAGTAAGTGCTTTTTTTAAATTGCCCAGTAGTTACAGGGTTCAGACAGGGGCCAAAATCCTCTTGTGGACAAAAATAAAGTTGAGTATTGTTCATCAGAATGATCCCCCAAACTACATCTCTGTTCCCCAGTATTTCGTCATCATTTTAAAAACATACAAATAGTTTTATAGATGCAGTAAAGCTGCACCGCTCTTCCCAGACATAACCTAATGTTTTCTTCCCAGCAACGTGTGTGTGTGCGTGTGTGCGCGCGCCTATTTTATGTTTACTATACTGTAATCTAAAGCGTTACAAAACAGTGTCCTGAGGGAATCTGCCCGTTATGAAGTTTGAACCCGTGTGCATCTTTTATTGGACTCGCTGTTCCTGTGTAACTGGACCCAGTGGATACCTGGCCAGTCAGGACTTGCATTGTTTGTGTGTGTGTGTGTATGACAACAAAAACACACACAACACTCATTAAACGGCGTTGCCTCAGCAGCTGTACATGCTGTGACCCCGGTCTGTGTGGTGTGGTGTTTGGCTGAAAATAAGGCGGCAACAATTGAGCGAGTCACCGTCCTGCAGCTTGGAAATTAGATATGTTTTGGGTTAACACATAATGCATGATATCATGGAAACTCATCCGATGTCCCACCTTTTTAAAACTGTTGCTTGTTAAACCTGCTGACCTTGTTACAGTGTAGGTATATCCAAAGAGAAACCGATGACAGAGAGATGTGGCTGTTAAAACTGTTTAGTGTAAACAGAGGGTGGACAGTGGACACAATAAGTGACACATTTATACATGTTGGTTAATATGCCTGGTTGTCTTTGGACAGAACCAGGCTAGCCTGGTGTTTATGCTAAGCTAAGCTAACGGACTCCAGCATCATAGTGAATGACCAGGTAGCCATCTCCTCATCTAGGCAAGGTGAAGTTTATTTATATAGCACATTTCTTACCCAGAGGCAACCTCAAGTGCTTCACAGATTCCACAAGAAATGCATGATAAAAAAAAACAATAAAAGCAAACAAAAGTTGCAGGCATTAACAACTTTTAGTCTCGACTAAAAGTCAGGATATCTAGCCATCTGCTATCTTGATTTTCTGATCATCCTTCTAAAAATCTGTCCCTCAAATGTTGAATTACTGGAGGTCATATAAAAACGTGTGTAGAAGCCTCTAAGTATTTATGAATACATGCACTGTGTAACACGAAGGTCCTCTGTGTTTGCAGGTGACTATGAGGAAGGACATTGAGAGCCATGACTTTGGGTTCAGTGTATCCGACGGGCTCCTGGAGAAAGGGGTTTACGTCAACATGATCCGCCCCGATGGCCCCGCCGACCAGGCCGGGTTAACACCTTTCGACCGCATTCTCCAGGTAAATCGAATTTGTTATAGATCACCAAATTCTGAATATTGTCATGTTTGGAATATGAGTGTGCATGTAAACGTTGTCACTCTTCTCATCTTTCCGTAACTATACAGCACTCATCTGTACTTTTTTCTTCTACCTTAACCATCGCAGATTAAAATAATAAAATTAAGATAAAATGCATGTACAAAATGTGTAATACAATCCTATATAACATTAGAAATACTCTATTTAACAATTTTCAAACCGACAACTGCTCATCATTATTGCTTTATTGCTGAAAGTTAAATTTAGCTTCAAGCAGAAAAAAAAGCAGCCTAAGCTAATTTCCCAAAAAGTCAAACAATGCCTTTTTATAGAAAATGTGAATGCAGTAGCATGATGAATGATTTTATTTGATTGCAATCCTCTAGGTGAACCGTGTCAGGACCAGGGACTTGGACTGTTGTCTAACCGTGCCCCTAATTATAGAGGCAGGAGACGTCCTGGACTTGGTCATTAGCAGGAATCCACTGGCAGTAGCAGACTCCGTGCTGCCAGACGACTGTGACGACCCCTTCAACTCACTGTTCTGCTTTCCGGAGCACAGGACCAACAGCATCGCCCTGTGACCCCCACTAACACAGACGCTAGCCCTTTTGAAGCACTTGGACCACTCTCTCTCACGCACGCGCGCGCACACACACACACACACACACACGGGGTTATGTTTGTCACACTCACGCAGAGCATCCTCACAGAAACGGCTACAAAGTGCATGTGCTCACCGCTGCCGGTTTTAGTCACTGTGCTCACATGATGCAGTTCAGAGGAGGCTCTGGCTTCAGGGCAGCCCCCCCCCCTCCCTCTCCAGAGGCAAAGCCACATTTGGGTTATATAACAGGAAGAATCATAGCTTCTGCCTGAGCCAGGATGTCAACGCTCACGCCTCAAACGCTGCACACACACACACACACACATGCACGTACTGCATAAATGTACCATCTTTTGCTTTTATGAGCTTGATGCTCACATTGCAAAGAACTTTCTTTTTTTTGCTGCACACAGCTGCACATGCAATTATTTTCATGTATATATAAAACACACACCCGTATCTACACACACAGGGTGTTGGTGGACTCAAGGTCCAGGGCACATTGGGCTTATTTGCATTATTTCAGCCACGACTTGGCTCACTGCCCTCGTTTCCAGTCTCTCCTCCACACTGCTGCCCGCCCCAGAGAGCGGACAGTGCCTCCAAATAGACAGAATGCTCTCTGCTACTTTCCAAATATTCATTAGCTGTGTTTTAAAGCCATTAATGGCTTAATACCAGGAATGCTTGTGAAGACACTCTACCCTTTCTGTTTTTAAAGCGGGCGTCCCTTCACGGGTCAATAGTTCCAGAGATATGTTGCATTTTTGTTTTTTTGTTCCTGTCGGTTCAGTTTCACTTTCTGCATTTGCACTTGACACACACTTTTTTTTGTCACAGTTCATAACTCACTTTTTTTTCCACGTTGCAGTGTTTTTATCTGCATCTCTTTGTGGCATTACACCGGAATGGCTTATGTGTTGGTAAGTGAATTGCATCCTTAACCAGAGGAGGATTAAATGCCTTTTCAATGTTCCGTGGTGAATGATTTTGTTGTTTTCACTCCGTATCTGTCTCTGGATTGATGTTCCTCTCTGGAGTAGCTGTTTTTCCCCCACCGGTATCACGTAGCATGCATAGGATTTGTCCTCGGAAAGTAGCTCTTCCTCAGAACAAAACGGTACTGGGAGTAATCTTTGTTTGCTCCGATAGGATCTTTGTGAGAGTGCCCCCCCCCCCCCCCTTTCTATCATGATGTTGTGTTTTTATAAAGCTTTTGTGTATTAAATCTGGCCTGCTGATCCAGCTGCCTCTCTGGAAACATAGATGTGAGATGGTTTCACTGTCCCGTTTAGAGCAGACTGATTAATCCTTGGGGCGGTAACCTTTTCTTTGTATGTTTTATAGTAAATGTCATGTTGGAAAAGCCTATTTTGGCCTATTTTTAAGGTTTTGTATTAATTTATTGTCTTTATTTAGCTGTATCATGGGTATGCAGTGTTCTTTTTTTTATTTACAGTAAATGCACATTCAGTGTTGTATCTTCATGTAAGCTGTGTGATACTGAATGTGGCCGCACATTGTTTAGTTCATTTCCACATCTTCCCTGAAAATGTCAGGATTTCTTTCAATGGAATCTGAAAGTTATTGGACATGATTTTATTTTTGTTATTTAATTTATTATAAACTAAAATTTATAATTTCTTTTTATGAGAATAAAGTTCATGAAACCAGTTGATTAGGCTTTCAAAGCACTAATGTTGTTTTATTTGGCTTTTGCACACACAGACTCGAAAGTGTCTGTCCACCAGACCGAAATGTATCAAATGTATGGATTGTTGTGAAATTTGCTTAAATCTTGTTTCACTCTTGTAAAATGTTTGTCGCCCTGACTTTTCATCTAGCTTCATCAGGTCAACATTAAATTTGTCAAAATGTTTTGTGACCAAATACCTGCAAAAATTGTGACTATCTCTCATCAGCCTCAGCTGCACTTTGTTTATTGCTACTTAGCAAATGTTAGCATGCTATCGTGCTTAACTTCATTGGTGAACATGGTAAACGCTATACCTGCCAGCATGTTAACGTTGTCATTTTGAGTATGTTAGCATGGCAATGTTAGCATTTAGCTACAACCTCACTGAGCTGCGAGCGTGGCTGTAATAAGCAAAAATCTATACTAATCCTATAGTTCTATAGTATGAACTACATGAAGTGTCGCACTGTTTTATCTCTAAAAAGGTGTAATATATGGGATTGGGAGCATTGCCTCTCAACGGCTCTCACCACGGCTATGGCTGAGCTGGCGGCTCGTAGCCAACTGTGCTAACGGCGCTAATTACGACAAAAGTGCCGATGAAGCCAAAAGTGTTTACCTGAAAAGGTAAGCTTCAGCAACAACTTCATTCTTTGCTCAGGTAGACATTACTGCACTCTAGCTTTGGATAGCAAATAACTGAAGCTATATTAGTTCGCCAAATGTTGAATTTAGCGCCTTAAAAACAATCCGATGTTCAGAAACTGAGCTTTAAACACTAAGTATGAGTATTGACTCTTCACAGAAATGCAAGTCCAAATAACACAATTTCACCAAGTGCTTTTCTCATTAAGCATTTCTTTGCTCTCTCCTGTACTCGTGTTGATCATCCAGGTGATGTGAATTAAAGTCTTAGGGGGTTCAGTTCCCCAAGGGCTAAGGCCGGACCGCGCGACACCAGAGACGTGAGCAAATAAGCCAGTGCCATCTTTATGGGTGAGATGTCAATGCAGTTCCCACCTGCTGGGGGGTGTTAGATTGAAAGTGGGACGGATGGTGTGAAAAGCTTAGGCCAAGTGTCAATGAGCCTTCACAGGGAACGGTCGGTCAGACGTCTGCTCAATGAAAGATGGTTAAATTAATATACATAGCTATTTCACGAGGGGAATCTAAATGTATCGTGATTTGTAGCACTTTATCAAAAGAGTGAAGGGACATGATCACATTAATGGAGACGATACTTAGCAATGTTTGTTTAGTGGGTAAAATCAGAAGCAACAGCCTTCACTAAACCAGAGACTGAAGGCTGTGCACACACATACCGAGTGTATGTAATTAAGTCATCTCCAATGATATCCTGCTTAGCGTGATTAATGTAGTGCCTGTCTATGAAGACCAATAAGATTACTTCTTAGCACTGTAAAGCCAGTTTGAGGTGTGTTTGGCTAACAGCTAACGGGAATAGCAGTACACACATACTGCTGCAAACCTCCCGGCTGCTGTTCTGCGGCTCACTTTTATATTTTTTGGGCTTTGTGTTTGACTAACAGCTAATAAAACTACACACATACTGCTGTGTACATCTCGGCTGCTGCTCTGCAGATCGCTTCTATTGTATTGAAAAGTGTGTTTGGCTAACCGCTAACAGCTAATGGAACTACCAGTAGACAGTGCTGTACCTCTCCGCAACTCAGCCGCTGTGGTGAGTTTTATTTAGTTTTTGGCCCGATTGCATGCATACAGCACCGCTTGATTTTCAGTTTGAATGAAGTGTGTTTTGTGACCTTACAGCCCATTCGTGTTGGGGTTGTATTAATTAATTGAATCACCCAATACAACAGTGATCCTTGCAGATACACCCGGCAAAGGTCTGCACTCTACTGACTGTCCCGCTTCTCAAATTTAAACAATACATATAATAACAGTAATAAATATATTGGAGGAAAATGTTAATATTTAGAGAATAAAGAATTCTTATGACACATAATCCAAAGAACAAATGTTTATTTGTAATCTAAATAGAAATGATGCAATGTGCATCTCAAAGGGGACAACTGTGAGACAAAAATACTTTGGTACACTTGAATCCAAGATTTTAACAGACAAAGCAGAACGGTACTGTTGTGGCTACTGCACATGCTTCAGATTTTGTTTCTAACTGTGCAAGTTGTTGAATTATTGAACAATATTCAAAATTTAATGGTGCATTTTGAGCGAGGAGAGAATGCCATTGCTTCAATGAATAATGCACGCTGAAAAGTGTAATCCTGGCTCACAACATAATTAATATTTAGAAAACAAATTGCTGAGTTTTCAGTAAAATGGTGATGGTGTTCATATGATGTACAGTATAAAATTGTTACAAAAAGGCATATGTGATTTACAAACAATTAAAATTCTACAATATAAATGCCTAAACCGAACATTAGAGACTAGAATCCAGTGGTAGTTCTGCAGAGCGCATCTGCTTTTGTAATGAGCACAATGGAGAGAGCGTTCAGGATGTTTAGAAAAAAAGTTATGTTTTTACTTTTAAAGTGATCTTCTCACAGATTCTTCTAAGAATATTTGATGTCAGATTTCTACTCTTTTTGCATCATTGTCTTAGCAAGTCGACAACTAGATACTGTATATCAAATATTACAATATCAAAAAGTTAGAAGCTAAAAATATTTCCTCCTGAAATTTGTTGCAAATGCAACTCCACATAATCTTGCAACAATCAAAACAAATACTACAATAAAGGTGAAACGACATATAAAGTGCAAAGAGGGGTTTCAATAAATGCACTGGGACTGACTAGTAGTCACACAGGCTGTGTACAAATACTCTAAAAATGCCATTTCCCTTTTCTCCTTACTTCCTCTTCCCTAGTGTTTTTTTATTTTTCATTTTGTAGTCTCATGTTTTTGAGAATGGATTTCATTTGGATGGATGCATTTCTCACAGTATTTGGCCAAGGCCTTGTTCAACTTGCAACTTAAAGAATGTCAAGCAAAGATTAACTCTTTACACTGCATAATTGCCACTTAACGTGTTACGGATTTGTACTCTAAGAGACGTGGGTGGCTCACGTACATTCATTTTCACTGTAGGGGTGACCAACAACAACAAGATATTAGAAGTTAGCTTGGGCAACAATCACGTGAGGGTGTTTGGACGTCTTCTACCTTTCACGTGGTTAATTGCTCGATTATTTTACTGAATTTATGTGAAATGAGAATTTCTTCTATTACACCAAAAAAAACAATTTAAAAAATCAAATTCCTCATCTCTTCTCCGGAATCAACAGAATGGTAGTAAACATTGAACATTTTCTATCTCAATATACTTAACTGAGATCAGTGCCAACTACAGCAATAACAATTGTAACATCAACAATATCGATATAGTAAAAAATAAAAATACAAGAGAAACATTACAACAATGATATATAACTCTCTTCATAGAGATCAAACCAGAGTATCTCTAATGTGAATATATTTGACGATGTAAACCTACTATTATCAAAGTTAGCAAATATGATAATAACACAGAGAAAGCACATCAATCTTATTCCTCTCACAGAGAGCGCTCACATCGTTGTTTCTACAATGGTGTGGGTGGGCTTGTTCAAGCCATTGTTCCCGTTTGGGTTCAGGGGCTGTGTCAGCTCGCTGGCCTTCAAGTTGTACTCTTTCGGGCGAGAGCTCACGCCTGACTTCGCCGGGGCTGCCACTGCTTTTATCCTCTGAGGGAAGGAGATGACAGATTAGAATAATGATCATCACAAACTGGGGTCGGTTTAAGGCTCAAATTCTAAGTGGAAAACAACGTAATTCAACATCTGGATTTGTGCAATGTACAAAAAAAACCCTCAATGTTAATTTAAAATTGCTCTTGCCAAGACCTGAGAAGAAAAGATCGACACCAGGTGCATGTATGAGGGCTAGATATGAAGCTACAGCCAGGAGACCTTAGCTTCGCTTAGCATAATAACTGTCATAGACAGCGACAATATTGAAGGGGAGGGTCATGTGACAAACGGGGGAGTAGCCTAGCTAGCACTACCGCTTTCAAGCTAATCTGCTAGCATGTTTACTACATTATTGGCTGAAGGTTTGACAATGTGTCTTAATTAAGAAGAATTACAATGGACACATTTCAGTAGAAAATTACATTTGTTGTCTAATAGTTACAACGGCATTGAGCTAATGTTAGCTAACATTAGCTAACTAACAATTCTGTGTCTGAATAACTATTAACTTTGGAGAGTATAACTAGCCACAAAACAATAGACCCACTGCAGGTCGATTAACAAGATTTTTTATTGGTAATTGTCTAAGAACAGTTGTGTTATGTGCTTCTTCACTGTTTACCTTCTGCAGTACAAGTAGACGTTAGCTAGCAATGCTACCGAAAACAGCTGTCTCAGTTGCACATGTGACTCTTTTAAACTTTGATTTCTGTACCGATTATGCAAACCAGAAGAAATGTGTTAATTTGTGAGCTTTAGAGGTGCTGATTGGTGGATTTTGTCACTTTCAGACAGAGCCAGGCTAGCTCTTTAAGCTAAGCTAACCATCTCCAGGATCGAGCTTCATATTTAGGGTGCTGGTATATCAGAGCAATATCATCTAACTCTCTGCAAAAAAGCAAATAAATGCATTTCTGCAAATTTCTATTTCTTTAAAAGTACTAAAAGATCGAGCTCACCTCGATCAGGGGTCCCTCAGACTGTAAGATCTTGATGACCATCACCATGGGGATGCAGATCATGGAGGACAGGGCCAAACACCAGCCTATACCGATGGCCCAGTCCGGGTACTCATACACCTTGTTATAGGTCAAGGGCTTGTACTTCACCAGGGAGAAGACAAAGCAGCCCTGGAAAACAAACACAAGCTTCCATTAGTACAAGTTGTACACAACATTTCTACCAACAATATCTCGTCCAAGGCAATAAAACGACATGACGAAAAGCTGCCGCTCATCTCTCACCATGCAGAGGACAGGAGTGATTATGGTCCAGCTCCATTTCATCCATGCGTTTGGTCTGTAGCCAATCATGTCCTCAATGCCATCGTAGAATTTATCCACTCCTATTGCAAAACAAAGAATTACATGAATGCAAGCATAGTATGAAAAATGTTTCAGTAGATAAGATATCAGCAGTCTGTACTATTCCGGTGTTATTGTTTTGTTATTGCAGAAGGACCTCCATATCTGCCTCTTATCTCTGGTGTCTGCCCTTAACTGCAGTATATATATTTCCACTGGGACACGTACCAAATACTGTTAAAGTACAAACAGTCTCGGCTTTGTCAGGTCATCACTTATACTTCCTCCGAGTTTATTGTAGTTCACGGTGTGTTTTATGGCATCATTAAGTGGGTTGTGTGCAGTGCTGATGTTTATTATGCTCCTTTGTTAACAATAAGTTCTTCTATTCTGTTTTTAGTTCCTTTTTAACATCTGGCGAGGGACTACGGATGAAGCGCAGCAGCTGGTGAGGTCCTTTGTGATGCTGCTACAGAAGCATCTTTTGTAGAGACGATTAAAAACAACAGTCTGGGACACTGGTTCACAACTGTTTTGACTTGCAATAGGTTGCATATAGGTTGCATATGTCTATTGGCAGTGAAGACTTCTCATGTAGTTTATTTTAGTCATTTTTAGAGTCCTGAAGAGGAAAAACTCTTCAGTATTCCACAAGAGATAAGCAAATATTCAAGAAAAGACTGAAAAGGGGACAATTGACTGAAGATGACTCGAGTAAACTTCCTATATTGGCTGAATTTTGTATTTGAAGTATTGTTACTCCTGTCATGGTGTTATAGCCTGTGAATGTTGTGATAGTGGTAGTGATACAGAGGTAGGGGGTGGCGACCAGTTCAAAGCGGAAGTAATGGAGTAGGAAAAACAAATTAAATATCTGGGTTTTTCTGAGCAGTTATTTGGGGAAACGTACTTAGTGCAGTGGCGATTTGCCAGACAAAATCGAAACAGCCCGATGGGTACGTGGTACACGCAGGCAAAAGAGGCCATTGTCCATGCAAAATGTTTGTGTTTCTTATCATATATTTCTCCAAAAACAAGCACACAAAAGAACAATGAAATCATGGCTATCGCTGCCTTTCTTTGCTCTGGTAAAAAAAAAAAACTGATGCATCAGATGCATCATTTATTGCAATTAACAGAATCAAGAAGTTTTGCAATAACACTTCTATTTGTGGAAGATGCAGCGTTGCTTTTAGTTTAAACGTTCTTAATAATACTAGGATGTAATCTGTTGGGAGGCAACCCCTGGATAGCCAATCGCAATCCAACACCACCAACCCCCCCCTCACCACGTCTCTTCTTGCAGTTAAAGTTATTTACTACTGATGTGGGAAGAACCACAAGGACACCTTTGTTTACCACCAAAAGACATCATTTGTTCTTTTTTTTTCTCAACTGTTTACGATCATGACTTTGAAAAACGACACACAAGTTACTTCCACTTACCATAAACCCAGGATACAGCGATGCATTCAAAGAATGCAACCCACAAAAGGCACACACCGCTGGCTGCATAGTAGTCAAAGAGTTGAAACACATACATGCCACCCTGGAAAGAGAAAAGAAAGGGGGGGGACACATTAATTATCTCTCTGATGTGTGTCGAACCAAAGAAAGTCACACAGATAGAAGTGGGTATTAAAGTGGATGGTGCACGTTGAAAGCCGCGCACTAGAATGCTGGCGCCCAACCAACGAAGGCAGAGTTGAACAGGTGCTGAGACGCCATTGAAGCACGATTAAGTGCTAAACGGAAAACGGCGTTCCAAATTTGTTCCATTCACACATGTGACGTGAGCGGTGAATGTGGATAGGAGGCCATATTTGGTCGTGACAATGGGGGACAGCCGACGGTGGAGAGTGGAAAGTCTGTAGCGTTATCTCCGCCGTTGATCCGAGCACGCCGACTCCCTTCTCCTTTTTTTTTTCTGAGCGGGATAAGCAGAGGGAAGTAGTGAAGTGACTGCTGGTGAACTTACTTTTGTTACCATGACCAGCCCCAGGAGATAGCTCATGGAACACATCACGGCTATGAAGATCTCCCGTCGGTAACCCTTCCTGAGGAAGTTCGGATACAGATCCACAATGGAGGTGATCTGTCCTTCCACTTCAACAAACTGTGGGGATAAAAGCAACTGTTAAGTTCTCAGCAGGGGGAAGGGGGGAGAAAAAAGTTTCCTCCTGTGTTTCCATGCAGCTCTTGTTTTGTCTCCACAAACCAGTGATTACAGAATGAGAGCTGTCTTTGTTGAGCAGTAATGAGAATTTAAACAGGGCTCCTCTCTGCAGCTCTGGTTTGTCACTACCAAGACACAACAGAAACGAAACAACAGAGCATCACTGTCTCCCCGTCTCCCCGTCCCTCTCTCCTGCTCCCCTGTGTCTCCTCATTGCCTCGCAAGCTACATGATGTCGTAACAAAATCGTCCCTATTCACAAAGAACATGCTTCTTTGTTGCGCCCGGGGGAAAAAAAAGCAAACAAAAAGCCCCTTACATAGCAGCGGCATGTATGTGTGAGTGACCGCGACAATACGTAGCATTCAGGACCACAAATCTGCATGAAATTTATGGTCAAAAAAATGCACCCACATACACACACAAACACTGTAACTGGCAGCATTTGTCTCTTGGAAATAGCCTCATGTGTATTTACATGTGCTCAAATTTAGAGCCTGATCTCGTAGTTGACTCTGTACAGGACTGAGTTAGCACAGGAGTAGAATTACACTTGGGAGGCAGGAAATGTGATATGACCGGCGAATCCCTCTGGTGCACACTTGTGTTTTGTCAATGCAGATTATCTTGTCTTAATCAAAGCTCTGCCTCCTACCAAAGCTAGAAAACTTGAATGCAAGCTATGATAATGACTCCTACTAACTAAATGTTTGGCTTTTAAAGCCTATCAACTTCTAAAAACACTTAATTTGTGGTGTTGTGGGGCATTATAAAGGGATATAATCCTCACAAATTGCGGTCCAGTGTGACAGTTAAAAGGCCTTTGTGGGAACAGGCGGCTTTACTTGTCTGTTATCGGATACCTTGGAGACGTTAGATGTGGATCAGAGAGACACTTCATGTGTTTTACACATCGGGGCTGGCAGGAGCCAACAAACCCACGGGACCTGGAAGGTGTCCACGTGAAAGCTACTGACCTGGCTGTCGAGGCCCAGGAGCAGCAGCATGATGAAGAAGAGGATGGCCCAGAGGGTCGGCATCGGCATCATGGACACGGCTTTTGGGTAGGCGATGAAGGCCAAACCGGGACCTGGAGGGAGGACACAGCAGGGACGGGGAGAAGGGGAGAAGGACAGGATTAATATTTCTGTCTGATTTACAGCTTGGACGACATAAAGAGGATTGAAAAAAAAAAAAGATTGAGCTAGAGAAGCTGAGCTACTGCCAATAATCTACAAGATCTATATTTATATAACAATTGTAATGTTATGTTATGGTTGTGTTAATATTCATATCAATATCATTGTGTACTCACAAAAATTACGTTTTTCTTTTACTTTAATGCCAATAAATCCACATTGAAGTTCAATTAATATGTCGAACAATTTAAAGACGTGTTTGTTCTTTGTTGGCTTTGTGTGTTGAGTTGCTTTGAGGAAATAGTGTTTTTTTCATGCTTTAATGTCCCGTATGTGTTAATATCAACAACCATATTCAACTCTGCATATGGTCTCTTTTACATTGTACATATTACATAACTGCCTCTTGTTTATACTGAATATTACACACCCAGACCATTCTACTGCACACAGTATTCATTACATCCTGTTCATGCTGCTGCTTTACATTGTGTTTACATTTAACTCTAAATGCACGTTTGCTACTGTTTGCATTATCTGGCAAGATCCTAATCTGCATTCCTGGTTCTTACTGTGAGCAATAACAATAAAGTGGACTCTAAACTAAACAAAGCAGACGAGGACTGCAGCAAATGAAACATATCAACATAATAATAATAATAATAATAATAATAATAGGAGCATGAGGCACAAAGTCAGCAAACACATTAACTAGTGCCTCAATTGAACAGCTGAGCAAAATGTATTTCTACATTAAAAAAGAATGAATGAATTTTTGTTCTGTGTTTTCATTTATGATGTAAAATCCTGTATGTACACTCTAACATGCTATCACAGAACTCCTGTCATTGTCATACACTTTGTAGTTTGATTGTATTCAAGTTGCATTCTTAAAGAAAGCAAGAGTTTAATTTGAAAGTGAACAGAGCGAGAATGCAGAAAGAAGACGCATCTCCTCAAAAACAAGTCCACATAGGGTGTAAAAGGAAGGCAGAAAACAGAAGCGGTGTGGCGTCCACCTCAGGAGATCCACAGCTTGTTAACACAACTGGGCTTGCAGTGCAGTGCTGCTGGTCAGAAATATCACACTCAGGGTGTCAGTGCACATACAGTAGAGTACAGTCAGTGCTGGGCCAATCTTCTGAGCAATGTCCTCTGGTCAAAAAGATGTGAAGCTATTCAAATAACGAGAGCAAGTTGTTGTATGAGGAGCTCTTTGACAGCACGGTTCATTGTGTGCAATTGCCGATACCTGTACATTTCAGCATCATCGTTTCCGAGACTTGAATAAACTACTTGACCCCCCCCCCCCTCCTCATTTAAAATATGCTGGACTAGCTCTTTTGACAAGTTTCCAATTGTCTTTTCTTTTTTTCTCTTTTTTTGGGTTGTTTTCTTTGGCAACAGTGCCCACCATCACTGCTGCCATCACCTTGGACCCTCGTACCTGACTCTGCCACATCGGCAATGTCCACCCCTTGTTCTTGTGCCATGAAGCCCAGGACGGAAAATATTGCGAAGCCAGACACAAAACTGGTACCGCTGTTGAGGCCTCCCAGCAGCAAACAGTCCCTATGTCACACATATGTCATGGAGGTTGTTAATGACACACAGGCGGAACTGAAGTTCCCATTGTCTTTTCACGCAACCGTCTCTGACACGAGTTGCTGTCACTACTACAGTCCCCACTCTCTCTCTCCCCCCCGCCCCCCCAGCGGAAACACAACTCACCTGTAGCAGTTGTATCTGTATTTGTTGTAGCTCCCCAGCGACGTCATGGCTCCCAGGCAAATGGCGTAGGAGAAGAAAATCTGGGTTCCTGCATCGATCCACACCTGAGGAGACAGAGGAACAGGTGGTTTTCACAGTGTTTTTCCAGAGTAGGTCAGCCTGTTTATGAAATACTTTTTGGAAAATTTAAAGGACCCCGGTGTGCACAGTGTGGTTCACGTGTTAAATTTGTGACTGTAGTGAATTTGTTAAGTTTACATTATTTTGTTATTTCCCATGAACATGGAAGTGCTTTTATTTTGAAAAGACAGACGCAGTTTATGGAAGGAAAGGAAAACAGTGCAGTAATGTTAAGGCGGAGATAAACAACACAAAGATAACCAAGTAATAAAGACAAACGGGGATATAATAATGTGAGTTTAGCTCCATTAGAGAGGGCAGCAAGTTGTTAAATGTATTTGTTTGTATCTGGTCATTTGAGTTTGTTTGTGTAATTTGCTGATTTTCTATTGAAAAAGAAGTTCAATGTTCCTTCTGTTTGTTTAATTTCCCATATTAGCTCCGTCGTTGAAGTTAAACAGAGTAACTGCATTGGATCATCAGTCCAAGTTTGTGTTATTTTGACTGTGATGCTACAGAAATGTTATCACGAGCTCCTTGCTAGTGAGCTAATCAAATGTAAGAGTGATTGCTCACACCGCGAAGGCAAACATTTTATTAAACATACAATAACTGGGTTTTTTGTCCACTTCGGAGCAGCAGAAACAAGTTGTGAACACAACATTGACATATTATCACCTTTCGAAGGCTTCAGGATGCTAAACTTGAGAAACTAGCAAGAGTACGCTAGATTTAAAAAAAATATCCAACAGAAAAACCCAGCCTAGTGTTGCCAAGTCTTTTACAATGAAAGTATCTAACAGCTCCAAAAGTCCCTAAATCTAGCAAGAAAGTCGGCAAGTCTGCAGCACTGACAGCCCGTCCCTTCAGGCCAGCCACCAAAAGCCACTCCCCCTAAAATTATCATCATGAACATAAACAACCAACATGGCTACTGTTAGTACTCACAGCTGTCAAGCTCGTGGAGGAACATTCCTGTATCATTCAATTTGGAGTCGTGTTTCTGGCTTCATGATGAATGGGAGTTCAATATTGTAATATTGCAATATTCTAATACTGAGGTGCTGAGGAGCAGAGATCTTTCACTGCAGCCAAAAACGACACTGATGAGAGCGGCGAGACGGAACCAAAACTGTAAAGTTGCAGACCAGAAAACCAAACACTGAGAGATGCTATGAAGCTGGGAAGAGCTGAGTCGAGTCATAACTTCCTGTGGGTACGAGTGACCGCTTTTACACATAAGTAGTCATGTGATCCATTGCCAATATAAAAATAGAGCAACTGCAATAACAGTTACCACAATTTTCACATTGGCAAAAGCTTCAACAAGGAGTCCAAAACAGAAAATATTAACATTGAATGCACACATAGCAGTGGTGACATGGTGACAATGTCATTGATTTTATCTGAAACCTCATGAACAACATTAACTCTGTGAAACGTAGTCAAATGTCTTTTTTTTCCAACTGCACAGGACACATGGGGGCTAGCCGATCCACATATGCCTGCTTGGTTTTGATGTTAATCCAATCACTCATGATAAATGATGTAATCGAGTTATATAACGAAACTACACATCTACACTACTACAGTGGTTTAGATATTGAGAATGAGATGAGAAGATTGATGCCGATTCAATATCCATCTGTTAAATATGGAGCTACAGGCAACAGCCAGTTAGCTTAGCATAGCATAAAGACTGGAAACAGGGGGAAACAGCTACCGTGGCTCTGTCCAAAGGTAACAAAATCAGCCTACCAGCGCATCCAAAACACATATATTAACACGTTATATCTTGGTTGTTGTCTAAAAAAGCACAAGCAACACGTTGTGGTTCTATCGGGGGTTATGTCAAAACTTTTTTTTGCGCGGCCACTTCCTGAAGTCACTGTGACAACGCAACATTTTTACACTTTGGTTGCACAGATTAACAGATGAAACGTGTTAATTAGTGACCTTTAAGGGGGCTGGTAGGTGGATTTTGGACAGAGCCACGCTAGCTATTTCCAGGTCTTATGCTAAGCTAGTTGGCTGCCAGCTCTAGTTTCATATTTAGCATACAGAACTGAAAGTGGTATCAATTTTCTCATTTAACTCTCAGCAAGAAATATAACACAACGAGGCTACTAGTTGAGATTATGACTTTTTTCATTTAGCCACACGCTGACTCGTGTCCAAGTTTTAGGACTCATTCCTGCAGCACTCTATCACAGATGAAGAGGAGAAGAAGAAGAGTTCTTGATCCTACCTCTGGGTCTTGTAGGCGGGTCAGGTTGGGGTAAAGGTAGAATTTGATCCCTTCAGATGCCCCAGGCAGGGTCACTCCTCGTATCAACAGCACAATCAGCATCACAAATGGGAAGGTTGCTGTTACGTACACCACCTAGACAGGACAACGGAACGATTAGCCAAAATACTGACCAGCTGTCATGCACTTATGACTCACCACCCTTGACATATATAATGGGGTAAAAACACTACTTCCTTTTTGAAGTTCTCATTTCTAAGTTGTGTTTTTTTTCCGACTGCAGGTCAAGAGAAACATCGTTCTTGTTGTTCCCCTTAATGTACTTGTTTTTGTAGCAAGTTTTATCCGCCGCTTTGGCATTGCTGAGCACCTCGCGGTTTTCTGAGCACCCTGAACGCCTCAAGTTGAAAATAATTCCTCTCAGAGCCATAAAGTGCCCAACGTCATTAGCATTTTTTTCTCGTTGTGGTGACTTTTTCCTGGATGCTTGATGCAAAATGACTTCACCAACTGTAGTTACTATGAATTAGTGCTGTACTTGACATTTCAAGTACGTTTTTTTATTTATTTAAACTGTACTATTAATAACTATGAGACGGTTCGCTTTTTTTCGGGACTTTTCTCGGACTTTTAACAATGATGATCTCGCTCCATACACTTATATGTTCATCTCTGTGGAAGTCTGATTCAAAAGACGTGCAGTCTATGGCTGTAACTCACCTATGAAACCATCTCTCACATGCTTAGACATTCTGACACCGCTGGTTCTAAATACTCTCGTACATAAACTGCCATTTGAACGTTAATATGATCCTGAATTAACCCGATGTGGGGAGCTCTGATAGGTAGCCAAATAGTTCATTCTCTTAAGGACAAAACAAGATTTTCCAGGACTTTTTACCTTTTTTCTCATTTTCCATGACTGGAACTGTTTTCCAGGTTTTTCTCAGAACGCGTGGGAAACCTGATACAGCAGCCTACAGACGTCATGATGAGGGTTTCAGATGCATGCCCACAGGAGTCACACTACACTGCATAAAGGCTTCTCACTGCAATTTGGCTTTAGATTAATCATTTTAATGCACACTAATCATAACAATGCAAGTTAACAAGTTCTGAATTTTTCCACCCAGAGCTCGTCTCGTTGGCTCCGACCCGGCTTCTGACAGAAACAGAGAGGAGGCTGAGCAGTCGATGTTTTACAGCCGACAGTGAGTCTGGCCAACAAGAAACTTCAAGGACAGCGCAGAGGCTCGTGCCTCTAAATCAACCAAATTAACTGCTTTCCGAGCATGTGGCTTTCCTCGAAGCAACGGTGAAAAAAAAATAAAAGAAGAAGTAAAGGCCAAACAGCATCCAGGCAACACAATAACAAACAGGACGCGTCTCCGTTTCAGCAACTCACTTTCCCCGTGGACTTGACTCCCTTCCAGATGCAGAAGAAGCAGATGACCCACACTGCGAGGAGACACAGGGCCAGGTCCCACTTCAGGGGCCCGATGTCCTCGATCCCACTGGAGATGCTCAGGACGTTGCGTCTGCAGAGGAGACAGAGACGCACAACAGCTTAATGGCGGTTTGATAAGGGATCGTGTGACAACCCTGATAAACGTGGAGATCAAACAGACACATGATGTAGCCTGCTCTGTTCTGCTGCTCTGGCCTGTCCAGCGTCTGAATATGGAGGGAAAGACAGCTTCAAGGCTTTAACATTGAAGTGTCTAATGCTGCATGAATATTTTTAGTTTAGAGCCATTCATTGTGATGAATTACCTGCAAATTCAGGGTTAAAAAGGTTGTTTTTCATTTCATTCTGCTGCACAAATACAGTTTGAGATAAACTAGCAGAAAACTAAAAGTAAACGGTGCTTTTTTTGTAAGAATTGTTCAAACACATTTTTTGCGTTTGTGTGTTAGTGTGCATGTGTCAGTTAATACTCACTCCCAGAACTCAGTGACGGGGGAGGTAAAGTTGGTCATGTTGGCTGCGAGCCATAAGGTCTTGTTCCTGCGGATCGTGTCCTCTATGCAGAATTCTGTGTTCCAGGGCTGATTGCATTTGGCCCAGGGGAGCTCCGGCTGGAAGCACTGAAACAGGTAGTAGAGTCCCCAGGCCAAGATCACGATGTAGTAGACGTTCAGCAGAGACACGATCACCACAGAGGCATAGCCGATACCTGGAGAGGGGACGGGAAAGAAGGCAGATTTTCAGCGTCATGGTTTCCGTTTTGTTTAACATTAAGCTTTTATGTTTCTGGTCACCTGATGGATGTAAGTCCACTCTCTTTTAGCTCTGATTTTGGTCTCCACTAACTCCAGAAATATTCTTCTGTGTGGTTTTGTCACTTCGAGCAACACTCGCTCAAGTAGTCACATAATCTGCTGTTATTTGTAATCCAAAAAGTGATAATATCGCTTTAACAGCAGTTGAAAATCTTGTTTTATTTATTATTAAGTTTAACTTCATGCCTTGCTTATAGACTTTGTATAAGAAGTGGACGTTGTCACTGCGACGTCACCCACTGGTTAGTGGACCATCGTTTTGAAGCCTCGAATTTGACATCTTGGTTTTTGCAACCAGAAGTGACACAAGAGGGTGGAGCCAAGTCCAACCGAACACTGAATAAGAACATTTTAAGCGACCAAAAATGTAACAATTAACTTTCATGAAGTGAAAACACGATGTGAAAGGGTTAACGTTGTAGGACGAAAACACAGACAACGCTGTGGTAGAGACCTGGCAATCATTTTTTAGGCGACTAAAAATGTTCCAATTAACTTTCATGAAGTGAAAACACACTGTAAAAAGGGTTAAAGT